GGGGGGGGGGGGGGGGGGGGGACTGCCTGCTAAAGCAGAACGGGAAGGGTGCCCGTGTGACTATGGGCTATTGTGGAACATAATTAGGACTCACGACCAGGTTTTGGATGAGGCTTGCGAAACTTCCGGAAACACCCAGATGAATGGCTTATAGATCTTAGTGAGCCGAGTTCAGACACTTTAACCCTGTCGCTGAACCCTTAGCACACCAAAGCCGAGGCGCCTGAAAGCAGTGCTGGATTATTGTCGCGAGGCCAACGCTGGGAAAAACACCTGGCAGTCCGGAACATTGGGTGAGGTGGGAAAATTGGCGATTGTTCTCGTTACCATTGGTACTATTTCTACCGTTACTGCCCCTAAACCCTATATATAAGCCCTAANNTAAGCCCTAAACCCTAAACCGTAACGTATTGTTGGCGCTGAGGACTTGCAGGGTGTATAGGGTATAGCGGGGACACCACATTGGCGAAGCTTTGTCATTCAGAAATATACCGAAAAAAAAATCAGCATCCCTTCCCTTTATACTAAGCATAAGTATGCATTGCGCCGCTGTTTGCAACTCTAAAACGCACTTAGTTGGTATTTATGCTTGAGCTTGGCAAGGTCGTGCTTAGTATGGAGCTGGTAGCAGCACGCAGCTTCGCGCATTACCAGATCGCACGCCAAGCATGGATCAGTGACAGGTGACGTGGGAGGAGGCATGTCAACATGCCTTCGCCCACGAGAACTTCGTGGACGTCATTTTCGATCCTGACGGCTTCACCAAGGAAGCTCCGATGCTGAAAGTGCGGCTGCCGGTGTATCTCAAAGGGGACACGATGCTCGGCTCCGATTTCTCCCGAAGACAGCCTCGACCCTGAACCCCAAATCCTAAGGCCCAACTCGCTAGACACTAAAACCTTAAACTCCTGCACCCCTAAACCCTAAACCCTAAGCCCTAAACCCCTAAACCCCTAAACCCCTAAACCCCTAAACCCTAAACCGTTACAAGACCAAAAGGTCGAGACAGTAAACCCTCGAAGTAGGGCCTTGATAGGTATAAAGTCCTAAACGCCATAAAAAAAACCGAAGGTTAACGCTCTTCTATGCCGGAAAGCCCTAAGCACAAGCACCCTTAACTTGTGGCCCTAAACCTAACACGCAAAAGGCCTTGAAGGTATGTGTGATCCTTCGGGCCCCGTCAGGTGGTGTATAAGGCGGCGGGGAGATATGGATTTAGGGCTTCGAGTTGTGTTTACGGAAATTTAGGGTTTAGGGTTCAAAGGATTTATGTAGAGGGTTTCGAAAGCTCCTAAAACAGGTACAGTACATGGACTCTGAATCTTGATGTAGCCATGATACGGCTTTCTAAGGCTCGAGGTCAGGAATGTCTTCTAGGTCTGCTAGGGCAGTTCACCTTAAGGCCCTAAGGGTCCAGATGCCCAATTTGGGTTTAAGGAACCAGAGCCAATGCAAATGATGGTTCCTGACCTGAAGCCCTAGGTTCTACCGTGTGGGTACCTCGTATTTTCAGTCTACTACAGAGACCCTCCGAAAACCCTTATAGAACGATGTAAATCGCATGCAATAGTCAGGAACTCTTGCATCACAACCTTCACCGTCGTTCCAACTGGGAAGAAGAAGGCCGTTGACTACAGCAAGGCCGCTGCAAAGACCAGCGCGAAGAAGAAAGTCTCCAAATGAGCGGACTGACCTTGCACTCAGGTTCCTTAAATGGATCTATAAGGGTTTGTGTAGGGGGGCTTCTAAATGAATTACAGGACATACCTCAGCTCATATTAGGGATATTGCTACCAGTTCAGGTATATTAATACTGAATTAATACTAAATGGATGTTGGAAGGGCTGGGAACGCACTCGATGTTTCCAATTCTAAGCCGGCCGGTCTGGTGGATAGCTTCCAGGACGTGTTAAGACCACATCGAAAGAATAAGGCAATACGGGGGCTTAAGATAATTACCAGTACTCCTTTATGGGCGTTTCTAGCAAAGCCAACCTCTCCATTCGTAGGGTTTTTGGATCCCAACTACCCTATACAGTTTCATATAGGGTTTAGGGGTCTAAGTTTAGGGTTTAGGGTTTAGGGTATAGCATGACCCAGTATAGAACCCTTTCAACAACAGCAGCAGTAAACTACCTGCGTCTCTCCTGGATCAGACCCTCGAGTTTGCTGTTGCAAGACATATCCTCTAAAGTACAATCTTGAACCCTCTGTACTGCCTTATGGGTAGTGTACAAGTCTGTATGAGGTCTAGCTATGGTTCAGGGAAGTAAGTTTTATGCAGTGCTTGCGCGCTGCAGCTGCGATTGTTTTGCGACAAGCTCGCCGCCGGCATCAAAGCCATGCCTCGCAATGCACATCGCAAAGGCCGACGTGCTCCTTCAGAAATCGTTGCGGATGTCTCTGCAGATGTCCTGCATATCGGTTTTCCAAATAGCTGTGCACATGCTGCCTTGGGTTGCGAGCTTGTTGGGGTCGATTCGGTGTCGCAGCACGCATGCGGTCTGTCCATCTATCTACGGCGTCTGTGTGTGTGCGCGTGTGTCTGTCGTTCTGTCTGTTGGTCTGTCCGTCCGTGCGTCCGTCCGTCCGCCTGTCTGTCTGTCTGTCTGTCTGTCTGTCTGTCTGTCTGTCCGTCCGCCTGTCTGTCTGTCTGTCTGTCTGTCTGTCTGTCTGTCTGTCTGTCTGTCTGTCTGTCTGTCTGTCTGGTCCGTCCGTCCGTCCGTCCGCCTGTCTGTCTGTCTCTCTGTCTGTCTGTCTGTATCGGTGTATATATATTTGTATGTACATACATATATATATATATACATACACGTATATGTTTTGTCTATCCTAAGGAAAAGGCTTACAGCTGACTCACAACACCCAAAAGCAAAAGAAACCCTAATACCTCAACCCAAGGCCACAACCTTCAGGCCCTGAACCCCGAACCCCAAAAATCCCAAGGCACCTTCCAGCCCGGACCCAAAACCCTGAATCCAGACCCAACCCTAACCCTCCAGGTACCTACTATAGAGGGTACTCCCTAAACCCTAAACCCTAAACCTTAAACCCTAAGCCCTAAACCCTAAACCCTAAACCCTAAACCCTAAAGCCTTTCATAATAGTAGGTACCTGGAGGGCTAGGACCCACCTGTAGTCTCCACTGTAGTTCCCTTGTGTTTCATGATTAGGACCCCAAAAGATAACCCCAAGAAGGAACTACAATGGAGACTATAGGCAAAGTCCTGAACCTGAAGCCTTGTAAGCCGTTCCAGAGAGCTCCCCTAAACCCTAAACCCCGAACCCTGAATTTTAAACCCTAAACCCCAAACCCTAAACCCATCTCTGCTTCCGCTTCTCCGGCATTTGGGCTCTCAGCGACGCGGAGAGCGCCGGGGTCCCCGGGGGGCCTGTGAGGCTGCTTTGGGGATGGCCAGCGACAGGCGGGAGGGCCTTGTGGGGAAGGGGAAGGGGAGGGAAGGGAAGCTTTTCACATGGTTATTGTTATTATTGGATTTTCCTTTAAAGGATATTATGTGCTCTGGGGGCCTTTAAGGGTTGATCTTCCCATGTTTGTCGTTTAGTCCTCGTATTTTGTAGTGTGTGTGTGTGTGTGCAAACGGTTTTGTTGGAAGCTGCTCAAGGGCTGTCGTGGGCTGCCTTAATGATTGGGTTTCGCGTTCAGGGTTTAGGGTTTAGGGGTTTAGTGTTTAGTATTCAGGGTTTGGGTTTTTGTTTGTTTGTTTTATGCGATTCCTGTTTTGTTCAAGGGTCGCTCTTGGTTGTTTATGGGTGTTCACATGAGGCATGGGTTTCATTCCTCTAAGGGATTCTCTTTAGACGGTTTTGTGGAGTTTTGGCTGTTGGCTTTTCAGGGTTCTCAGGGTTAGTTTCGTGATCCTGCACGGTGTGACTGGCTTGCTGAGGCGGAGCCCAGGCCCTGAATCTAAACCGCAGGCTAAGAACGATTGCATGACAATGGGGTCCAGGATAGGGCTATACAAGGCTTAGCAAGGTAGGCCTTCGGGTAGCTGTATACTTTCCCTTAATGAAATTATGAGGATTTTACTTACGAGGATTTGTCAGAGGCTTTAGAGGGTCAAGCTAGTTAGCGATGTTTGAGGAAGTATCCCGAGGTCTTCAATCCGAAACCCTAATCCCTAAACCGGTTTGGGTGTAGGGTGAAGATGACAGGATTCTTGGCTGTTTCAACTATCGGCCTGATTTGTCAACGTTTACAGGGTTCAGGGTTTATAGGGTTTTCATTTTGGAATATCCACCCGGAATACTATAGGATCCTAATTCATGGACCCTTTTAGTATCCGTTCATGGACCCATTAAGAATTAATAGCCACCCAAAAACACTGGGATCCTAGTGAATGGACCCTTTAATATCCAATATCTCCCCCTGACTGGCCTACTAGAATCCTAACTAAGGGACCTAAGTGACCCAGACGGTCCATATACACTATGACTATGGACGTGTTCCCCAAAAGATCATCCTTATCATGGTTTTGAGGGACCTATCTATTTCCATGATGGTACTATCTATGAAACACCCTAAACACCAGATATGGCCCCGCCGAGTGAGTAAACCCTAACTTACAAATAGACCCCTATGACTAAGGGACTGAAGGTTTGGCGTTCTTGAGGTTGGCTCTTAGGACTTTACTATATGAACTAAGACCCTAAACCCTAAACCCTAAACCCTAAACCCTAAGACTATAACAAGTAGGCTAAAAGTCTAACCTTCAGGAGGGGTTCAGAAGTCAGCCAAGAAGCGAGTGCTCAAAACCAAGTAGAGGGGAATCCTAGCACGAATCCTCCCAAGCACATGTCCCAACGTTCTGGGATTTGCTGCCTGGTTTTTGGGGGACCTTTATCCCAAAGCGGTACTACATTATTCTAACCTTCGCAACCTTATCCCTCAAAAAAAAAGCTCTTCCACTCATAATTGGGTTTCGAGGCGACATGGCGGAACCATGCGGAAAGCCGGTCTGGTTTCAGTTTTACAGCATTTAGCTAGATGTCTCTAGTCTTTTTTCAGGGAAGCGAGGGTTACGAAGATAGCGTTTCTTGTTTTTGACGTAGCGTTTCCTGTCCTCAGTGATAGCGTTTTCTCTGCTTGTGTTCTCCCTCGAAGCTGATCTTGTTTGCTCGGGGCCCGAGGGCGAATGAATATACAGATGTGCCCTGCCCGCCGTCCGCAGCTTGCGTGCAACAGAGAGGCTCAGTACGCCTGCCCTGCATGCAGAAAAACAAGCTCACTACTACTATTACTACTACTACTACTACTACTACTACTACTACTACTACTACTATACTACTACTACTACTACTACTACTACTACTACTACTACTATACCTAAAGGGAATTGTATATTGCAAAGACTTAATCCAGGATATATGTATACACATATAATACTATATATCTCACGAATCCCCTACTTAAAACCAGCATATTGGCACATTGCCTCTACATGTTAAGCTATATATGTTTGTTGTTTCCAAGACCATCGTGCATGATCATGACAACTTGTGATGTTTAGCATGGGCGCCGTGCAAAGGCCTGACCCCCCGGCTTTCTGCCATGCATTGCAGCACCGACTGTGTGTGTGTGTGTGAGAATTTGCGTGCAAACATGCATCCGCTGATTGTGAATTTGTGACTGCTTGCGATGATGCATGCAATTGTATTCAGCAGCCATGCAGCGCTGTTGTTGCTCAAGCAGGAGGGCTCAGGCAGATTTCTGTTCATTGAGGTCTGCTTGTCCACATGGTGTCGCTTGCAGCTCTTGCCTCCTGCTCCCAATTTGGTGTGCGAATGGCCCACGAAGAAGGACCCCCATATAACACGCTTTGGAAAACTTGCGTGGATATATAGTTACTCATTAATTACTCATTATTTCCTGCAGAAAAATCGAGCTTCAGGACTCATGACTATGCCGCCAACTTTCTGGGCTACTTGCCTTACGGCCCTTTTCGAGGAGGAGGTCTGCGAGATTAGCCTTTCATCTCGCTAAACTAAAAAGCTGTCCTTTAAATTCGCGAGGCCCCAACTATGACGGGTGATGCCATTGTGAAGATAGTCGTGATGAACATACGTCTCGGGGGAGTTTGCAAGCACTTCCAGCACATGTTCGGGAAAGAAGGTGTTCCGGCCACTCGACTTTTTTTCTGTGTGCCGCAGAGACCGCTGCGGATCTTCAAAAGCCGCATGCACCTGCCCAGGTAACTTCGTCATGAGCCATGCCTTAAGGGGGCGATTGTTTTGCGGAGGCAGCGACTGTACAGGCTGTCTGTGCGTGCATGCAAGCAGTGATACATGTGGGCCCTCGATCGATGTGATGTAACTTCATCTGTTGCGGCATTTAACTAGCTCTACATATAATAGTAGTAGATACCATCAATTTTCTTCGCAGTGGGCACATATAGTTGCTGTGCATGCGGGCGCACTAGTGCTTTGTCATTCTAGAATACTAGCCGGGGAAAGGCGACAGTTCAGCAAGCATTGATGCTGATGTGCAAACATTTGCAGGGCTTGGATTCATAGGGCGTACATGGGGTTGTAGGAAAATCCTCCATCCCTGTTACGTGGCCCGAGATCCGGAAGCTTCCAAACCTAACTGTGAACCTAATATATAATCTAGATAAACCCTTATATCGATATAACCCCCCTATATTTCTGATGCCCACGCAGGT